TGGATCGTGGTGTGGCTCGGAGAGGATCGAAGAACTGCGTCTGCGCAGGCACTGCGTGACGTCGTCCATACCCCGCAGAGTGCCGGGAGACCCGAGCAGAGCGAGGGTGTTTGGGACAACCTCCCCGCCTCTTCAGACAGCCTGAGTCTCAGTTAGGAGACATGAGAAGACAGCCTGGTTTCTTCATGATTTACACTCGAGCTGGTGAAGTTCACTTACGCCGTTTGGTCCTTGAATGGTCCTCATGGTCCTCCGAGTCACAAGGGGAACCGTTTTCCATCCACGGCCAGGCCCACGATGATAGAAAGGGAGTACATACTGTGGGTATTTGGTTGAACAAGGGGGATGGTGGGTCAGTGGAAGCTTCAAGACTATATTGCAATGGGCCAAGAGAATCCATTCAACAGAGGTGCATTCGCAGCCTGAATGCTCGTGATTTACCTAGACTCTTTGAGGTTCTTTTGAGGTTCCCAGTTCCCAGTTCCCTTTTATTGCGTGCTTGCCTTTGGGGTTGTCGATGGTGGTATGTTCGTGTCGGGCAGCTTGGACACTACAGCAGTTCATTGCGAGTCCTGGATAGACTCAATCAATGACTCGATCCTGCTCTCAAATCCTTGGTTCAAGATGCCCAAACAGGTCCTCTTTGCGCGGTATAGTATGCTTCCAAAAGTAGGAGCCAAAGAAACATGATGCTGCCGTGCAAATCGTTCACCATATTGTAACTTACAATCATAAGCAGTAAGTCATCCATCGGGTCCATGTTCCATCCGCAGGCTCACGAGGTGCGTTGTTTTACTTCGTTTTGCTCGTGCGAGGATAAGCCCCCACGCTAGCGGAGACCTCTCTCCAACCCGAAAACACAAGCTTGTTGGGGGAGCATTCAGCAATTTTTGCTGACATGGAGATGAGACATGAGGTTCCCAGATCGAGGCTGGGCCCGACAGAAGTATGAAAACCCTGGACCTGGTCCCATAGGAGTCTTGCCCAAACACTCCATGGAAACAGGCATATTTACCCACATTACGGATTTCAGGGAGGGGTCAGCATAAAGAAAGGCATGGATACCATCCCAGCAGCCCCTCCACGGCCGTCTCCTCTGGTGGCTTGTAACCTGGAGAGGAACAAGTGGCAGGCGTTGACCTGGCAGATCCTGGAGATCACCCAGTGAGACCTGTTTGGCCCCCACCACCCCGACGCTCAGCGACGCTCAGGTACCCAACTCCTCGCTACGGGTGGGAAGCTGAGCATGTGAAGAGAATTGGAATCAGGTGGAGTGTGGATTAATATATATATATATATAATCCAAAGGTTTGACCTCTCCATATCACGGGTTTTGCTGATTTAAAGGAAAGCCGTCTACCAAGCCTTTTGCCCTTCTTGTAGAGGGTGCCAGGATAGATAGAGCCACAACGGCAGGTCCTGGGACGTTTTGGAGACCTGCAGAGTTGTGGAGTTTGCACACCAGGAGTTCACACCAGGTGGAATTAGACCCTCGAGCAACCAGAAGGCCCCGGCAGGTGCGGGTTGACCAAAAGGTCCTTTGGGGCAGAGGGTCATTGGGGTGAACCCTGTGGGTTGGGGATTGAAAATAGGGAGACCCTCCCATGTTCTTATATATATATATTATATATTATGTATAATGTAATAAATATCTATAGTATCGTATATATATATATACAGTAATACATATATATATATTATAACAATAGTAGTACTATGTATTATAAGAATATATAAGCGTATTTTTGGTCTTCCCAGTGGTCCTAGCAGAGGGTCTCTCTACTCTAATACATCCTATCAAAGTTGCCTCCCTTTCTGTTTGACACCGTGGTGAGCTGAGCGGGGAAGTGACCAATCCTGTGCTGTGCACCTTAGGTCCCGTCTGGCTCCTCGCCATATGTGCAGGCGCGTAGAACTCTGTGAAGCAATTCTCTGGTGCGAAAGATGACAAGACTGACTGGTGCGACTGGTAGGGAATGAGAGGGTGTGAGATGGAATGAGGGAATGGATCATGGATCCCAATCTTTTTTCGGGGCTCATTCCCTCGTCGCCCGCTCCACAAAGAAAGTTCACGACCTCGAAACCGACATAATCTGCACCGCTACGTCGGGTTCCCTTGCGCAAGTTTGGTGCATCAAAGTGGGGCCCCCAGTCTCAACGGCTGACACAGCACCACAAAGCTCTCCTGGACATCATTTTTTGCAAGCTTGGAGTTGAAGGGGTCCAGCTAATAATGTTGTGTGTGTGTTGCCTATCTTATCAACCCCTGTTCTGCGCTTCAGCATTCAGCAAAGTGCTCAAGAGGTTCTTCGCAAGAGATTCAACGTTGCAGTTCTTTCGTTTCTCCTGCCTGTACACTGACCTTTGTCCGCGTTTCAGGCTTTTATATAGTACTTCCGTTGAACTACTCCTTCTATCCGGAGCTACCATGACCAGCTAGTGGCTGCCTGTGATGACAAGCCTGTGATGATAGCGTTTGTGGGTTCGTCCCCCCTGGCGATCGGTGTTGATTCCCCCTGGCGATCGGTGCTTTGGGGCCAGTAGATACTGTGACCGTCTTCACTTGCCGTTACTGACTTGCTAGCCTGACAGACTGCGTTTCAGGATGGCACTTCCATTCGATAAGAATGGCACTTCATTTAAAGGATGCACAGAGTGTGGGCTCTTTCCAAACAACGGGCGAAACAAAAACGACCGTTTTCCTCTGCGCGTTTCGGTCAGGTGCAGCTGGGGCCTCGGTCGGGAATACTGGTCGTCGCCGGCAGGTGCCTCCAGTCTTTCCAGTCTTCAAGGCACTTCCGTCGACAAAACGGAAGAAGGACAGCGAAGGGAGGAAGACATGAGGAAGCCGATGGTTGTTTTGGAAGGAAGAGTCATACTTAACTTGTAATCTATTGACCTGAAGCTAAAAGAGCCACACTGCTTGGGGTCATGCAAAGTGGACGGAGGGAAGGCTTTTGATATCTTTTGATGGAGGTTGTCAGCGCAAAACGCAACAGAGTTGCTGAGGTGTCAGGGGTGTTTGCCTGTCTCAAACAGACTATTAGCCAACCACAGGGTTTTCATTTTGTGCTTCCTCTACCAAGTGCGCTAAGTGGTTTTAGCGGGCCAGACATGCTGACTTGGAGATCTGTGCTTGTGGATACACGCAGAGTGAATACCCCCCCAGACTAGCATAAACCCCAATCCACCAATTTGTCCACTTTCAGAGCCAATGTTGGTTTTTGGAAGAGTAGACACCCGGAGCATTCCAGAACAAGCAGACGTGACAATGGCAGATCCACGTGTATATATATATATTCTGCATAGTCATGTACAGTATTTTTTAGGTGAAGTGTCCAAACACTTCTTCTGCCACTTTTGCCATGTTCTACTGGTCTTCTACTTGAGGTCAAATCAGATGCATCCACCCAGGCAAACACAGCCTCCACCGTCTCCAATCCAGTGACGAGTCAGGCGAGCTCTTCGCGCGCGCGGCCGCCTCGCGGCGCGAAGAGCTCGCGTCATCCCGTACCGAGACGAGCTTTTGGAAGGGTCGGATACGGTAGGACATGGTAGGACATATTTAGAGTCAGAGCCTGGATTGTTCCAAAGCAAGCAGATTGTTCACGGCAGATCCAGATTTTCTAGATAGATGTTGTGAACATCCCAAGACACTTGGCCACGTACTCATGTTAGTACATAGATTATTCAATATATAATACTATATATATAATATATTATAATTGGTGTTCTATTCCTTTTCAAGAAGATTCCATGAGCCGAATCAGATGCATGACTCCCTTCACCGACCACGACACCATTGCATCGTCTTTTGCTCTCCTTTGTCGATCCATCGACCGGTTCCACCCGAACACCACGGATCGACACGCGCCGGATCGACACGCGCCTCAGGCAGCCACGGTGTCCATCCAGTCCATCCACATTCCAATGATGACTCAGGCCACGAGACCGACACGGGGAGAAAGGTTAGTCATTTTTGACACGCGCCGCTTTTTGACGCGGGAGCTGTGGGTGGTCGGACGGGGGTCGGAGTGGTTGGTGCAAGACACACACACACACCATGTCATGTACACGTCATATATGATTATATATATATATATACAATAGGTGTATATATATATATATTTGTTGAACTCCTGACCCCTATTTTGGAGGACCGTTTATCCCAGATAGAACACGGCCCTTTCCCATCAAAACATGATCAGTGGGTTCCAGGTGGACAATTGTGTAATATATATATATACATATATGTGTGATCCTATACACATACATACCAACGCAGACTCCATCCGGATGGGGATTGATGGGATGCCTCTATGTTTCACGCAGCGGGCGGCGACCAGTGGTGCTGGTCTCCCACGATGCACCACATATAAGCACGGAAGTTGACATGATTCTCAAGGTGAAAGAGGGTAGTAGTGGAAAAGGTGCAGGTGCCGGGTGATGAAGCACACACATTGGAATGTTGTCGGTTCATTGTCCAGGAGGTCAGGGTTTACTGTCATTCTTCAATTCACCCTAAACCCTGATCATCTTCATTTTCATTTTCACATCTTCATCCCCAGGTCGTGTAGGGTAGTGCAGCGGGGTCGAACAGACCGAATGGCGCTGGTCTCGCTGGGATCCTCGATCCCAATCCGAGCTCGCTCCGCCGAGCTCCGCCGGTCTCGCGAGGTGTCCCGGCACTCTTTGGGCTCCTCGCCCCAGGCGAGGCTGCATACCCAGTGGGGATTGGGGACACCCCACTAAACAAGAACAGGTAGAGAAAGGTTAGAAAAAGGTTACACCCCGGAAGATTAACATGGAACCTGAACACCACTGGGCTGGTAGAGGAAAGTAGTCTTCCAAAGGTCCACTTTCAGGTTCCATGTTAATCTTCCCAGGTGTAACTGGTTAATTAACCTTTATATTCCAGGACAACTGAAGGAGTCAGAATGCATGGCATCGATGGCAGCGATGGCAGAATCGGGTGACAATTCTTTTCGGTGGATGGAACTGGCAGAACGCATGGCAGAACGCAGAAGGCCCTTTCCTTTGGAGCAGGTCAAACCATGTAAAACCATTGGGTCCCAGGGATGGGACTTGGTGAATCAATCTGTCAACATCAACATCAGTCAACATTCATTAGGGCCTATTAGGGCTCCAAAGCCGCCAATGTGGCACCCAGAAGGCACTCCGATATCGATGGATGTGGCACCCACAAGGCACTCCGATATCGATGGATTTGGCTGAAGCTCTCACCGCTGAAAATGGGATTCGATGTTGGGGGTCTGCCGCATGATGGATATGCCGGAGATTCCAGATGGGGGGTGTTATATAGACTTCTTATGATTTTTTAGTTCCACCCGGCAAACGAACCTACATACCTCCAGTTCGCAGCTCTTGTGATTCTAGAATAAGATGCGGTTTGCTGTGTGAACCCTCTGTGAAGAGATATGCAGTTGTTGATTCTTGGACTCATTTCAAGATGCTCAAGTCTCTTTGATCATCTTGAAATACCTCCATCTGCAGTTCGGAGTGGTGAAACTCAGACATCTTCGATTCTGCGTCCGGCTCAAGAAGTGGACCGCGGACCGCGCTCACCATGCTGGAGCGCGGGAACCCGCCGCGGAGCCCACTGTCCGACCGCGCTGCGCCCAAGGCGGCGTCGCTCCGGTCGCGCTATTGGCGCCCAGGGGTTGTCCCGACCATCCGCGCCCAGCAGAAATGCCCGTGACTCCGGACGCATCGGATTGTGGGGAAACTGTGGGGAAATTCAGATCTCGAATTCAGATGGGCATCGATTTGGTCAAGAGAGTTTGACGGAGACGCCAGTGCGGAATGGCATACGTCATACGTCAGGATGATCATCTGTCTATTTGATTGACTATGCCTCATCGACTATCAACTTTACAAGGCTTTGACTACGACTTTGCCTCCACTAAAAACACCTCCTCAAGCCCCCCGCGGGATCCAGCGGGAGGCTGTGGGTTTGACTTACCCAAGTTAATAATGTGTTTTGGGTCATGAAACATGAGAATGGTTTGGGAAGTTTGTAAGTCAATGTCAGTTCTGAGAATGATGACTTACCCAAGTCAATGAAGAATAGGGGTTATGAGGGTCAGTTAATTGGTATCATACTTTAGTGGTACACGACCCGGTGCCCATCATGGCCCATCCCTTCCTTCCACCAAGTTTGCACCTAAGGTCAGGCCATGCATTCCATTCCATGCCCACGTTTGCACCAGTCAGGTCCTTCTTCCATCCTGGGCTCTCCGCTGGGCTTCTTTTTCAAGTGCATCGAGCTGTCTCGAGGAGGGCCAGCTCGGCGCAGCTCAGAGCGCACGAAGCGCGCGGAGTGGAGGTGTGGCGTCGCTTGCCGCTGGAGGCTCCGCCCAACATGGATGCGATTTTGCGATGCCCGGCGCCGAACTCGTTTTGAGTTTCCGAAAGAAACGGTTTTGGGCTTTGGGCTTTAGGTTTTGTAATTACTGGTGGGGGAGGAAAGAGCACAGCTGTTAGAGGAAAGAACTGCACCATCTGGAGCCTTATACCAACATGCAGCAATAGGTTTTAGATGAGGTTTGGAGCTTTTCCAAGTCTGGTACAAGGCATGTAGGTGGCATTTGGACCATGGAATCTTCGACCTGCCGGCTTGTAGCACGTGCCACCTCGGGTGACCTCCTTCGGTTCAGGAAATCGCTACAACGACGTCGTCTACGAGGAGCTGGATGACCTCGACTTGAGCCCCTTCCGCTCCTTGGCCGTGCTGCGTTTTCCGGTCCATTGGGTGCCCCAGGCGCGAACAGGGCGTGGCGGGCGTGTGGCGGATGCGGAAAGGGAGGCGATGTGGCAGCAAGAAGTGGCCGAAACATGTCATTCTTCTCATTCCCAAAGGATGTACTGCAAAGGGATTGAAGGACTTATTTATTCTATACAACCTGTTTATTCTAAGGCTGGGGGTAGGCCGAGGTATATAGCTAGTAGAAGCTAGCTAGCTAGTAGCTTAAGTAGCTCCTACTTAGGACGAGGGATAGCTCACGCTTCTTCAAGGAAGCTTCCCCGAGGGCGGGGGGGAGCCTCCTTGAAGAAGCGCTTGAACTCATGATTTGGTTCCTAGATCAGCAAATCGTGACATCGCTAGCAATATGGGTCACACAAACAGAAACATCCACCGACACGTTCACCGCTGTTCCCAGGGCCCGTTCGATTACCGGGCCCGGTGGATCCGAACGGCCGTTGGACCTCCGAAGAGGTGGGTCAACTGCGGGACCATGTGCTTCGCCTGGGTTCCACGCAGCACTTGGCCATGCAGTTCGCGTTGGAAGAGCACGGTGGCTTTCTGGGTATTGCAGTGGACATCCCTCAGGCCATGGGTCCCAGGGTTTGCAAAGGTAGAGGAAGCAGCTTTGAGGAGGAAGAGTGGACATGAGCTGAGTGGACTAGGACATCTATGACTAAGATGATTGAGTGACTCACCTGTTCGCCCAAGTACTAAAAAAAAACATAAAACACCCACAATTCCCAAACTTCCCCTCCAACGGCGGTCACGGGATGTCCGTGTTGATGGTCCGAAGGTGTTTGTGGGACCTTCATGCAGTCGTAAATTGACGAACAAGATGTGCTAAAAATATGGGCCCTCCCTTAAATATTTATTCCAGGGGGGCATGTCACATAGTGGAATATTTTTTGTGGAATAATTAGACGGTAGAATATTTATTTAAATAATCCTAAAGGGGGTCTCTTGATGCTGAGACTCAGGAGGAATAATTTCATGCCAACTATCCCTGGAATAATTTACATAATCGAAGCTACTATCGAAGCTTTTCGAGCCTGTGTTGATCTGTCTTGGATCTGTTCCACGAGTTGATATTTCTAATGACAGAAAATATGCCTGCATCAGGTGCACATCTGGAATAATTATCCTGAAACTATGTTCAAGGCCCCAGGAATAATTGCTAATTATTCCTAGGTATGTGGAGATAGGGGGGGGTCTAAGGTAGGGGCCATCTAAAAATTGCTGAAAGAAGGTTATATATCACCCAGAAGACACATCTATATGTGTTTATGGATCTTCGTTGATGTTCTTTAAAGAACGCTATCAACCCAGAAGACATGGGGGTGTACCGTGGACCTCGTCCTCCTCAAGACCCTTTTTGTGCGGTCCGACCTGACCGCGCCTCACTCCTAACTTGAATGTGTGATTTTCCCTGGAAAACGATACCAAAACAAACAGAAACGATACATTTCCAGCTATTCCATTTTCATACAAGCGTTTTCTTGATGTTCGGTATACATCTGAGTTCCTTAGAGGGGTGGGTATTGGACCGAGCAAGCGAGGGAAAATGGGAACCGGATGGAGCTGGTGGGGCCTGGAACTGGTTTGTGTCTTCATCGACCGGAGATAGGAGCATCGATCGCCCTCGCCATTCCAGGCCCAATATTTGCCACGAGGCTGTGTGGGTGCCGAGGTGCTCCGCTTGACTGTGGAGGAGGATGCCGTCCATGTGACCTTGCGTGGGGTCAGCATGCTCCTTCCCTTTGCAGGCTTCAAGTGTTCCGTTGGTTCCAACCTGAATCCCGGAGCTTGGTTAGACACACCGAAGGTTCGTCTCGAAAGAAGATGTGTCTCCGGCAGGACCGGAGATTTCAACGAATTTCACCAGAACCTGCCAGAAGCACCAATGGACCAAAAGAAAGTGCTTGGAGTTGGAGGTCTTCCTATTTGGCCTGCTGAAAGGCTACAGAACCTGTAGATGAGGGAGACCCTCCAACAACTGGGTTTTGGTTGATTCTTCTTCTTCTTAGGGAGGTCTCCCTATTCTGGATCTAATGCGCCCCGCCTTGTTTGCCCGGGCGTTATCCGGAGCCGCAGCTCAGGCTCCGGATCATTGATCGCGTGGCCATGCCAAACAAGGATGGTGTCGTGCGACCCCTGATGCAAGAGGTCTTGGAACATACGGAGCTGGAACAGAGCGAGGGCCTGGAAGTCTTGCTGAAAGAGACCAAGGAGGTTGCGGTGGTTGAAACGATCAACCCGCTTGAAGCAAACTTGTGAACACAAAGGATCACCTTGTTTTTGGTTCTAAAAGGCCTTCACTTCACGTTGAAACTTATTGGTCCCAGAACCCGCTGCAGACATGGGTCCGTTCACCCGCCGCAGACCTCCGAGGTGGAACGGCTCTTTGATCACTGCGGCCAGCTTCAGAAGGAGACGGGGATCTTCGCAGCGGGAGACTTGTCCAAGAGCACGTTGCTCAGCTTGGCACAGACGGCCTCGGAGAACTTGAAGGATGTGAATCTCTGTGGTGTGCGCCACAGCGAGCAGCGAGGCGGCCTCTTGAGCCCACCATCATTAAAAGCCCTCTTGCGGATGGGACTTTACACATATTTGAGCGTTTCTTGAAATTCCAGCGCAAGAGTGTTGATTGGTAGGTGGTTTGGCATGGATGTCAGGGGCGGCCTTAGCTGGCACCTTAGGTGGATGTGTGGATTTATGTGGTCGTTTTATATAAGTCGTTCCTATTCTTTCCTTTTTTTGGCGGGCCACTCTGGTGGTGGTTGGGTTGACCAACAGTGTCTTCGTGTTGATCGCGTTTTCATAACGTCATGCCATCACTAGAACATCCACTCAATTTTCCAACATCTTGCTTCAGGGAACAGCTTCGGACGATGAAAGGACCCGGAACCGGGTGAATTGCGAGATTTCCACGGAAGTGAGATTGGAAGAATTGATATGCATGCGATTGCCTACGTTGAACCCTTTTCAACCACCCCTGGCCTGATAGGCAAATATGGCACTCTCATGGAGTGTCTGGGATTGAGTTGGCATACATGCGGCCCGGATTTGGAGGGACGTCCCGTTCAGGCCCTGTAGTGACCAGCCATGCGGCGGTCTTTGCCTTCAGCGCGCAGAAGAAGGCCGACTTCCTCTGCGACCCCTTCAGCGCTTTGCGGCGGCTGCGCACGCTGCGGAAGTTCTTGTGCCTCATGGACCGGGTGTTGACACCCAAGTTGCGAGTTTCTTAAAAAAGAGAGGGCCGTGGATGTGGAGAGAAGGCTTCCATCCTGGACGGGAGAAGGGTGCGATGATCGAACGGGTGGAAATATTCCTTGATGTCTCCCCAGTCCCAGCCACTTAGTTTTGCAAACGCTCTCAATTGCCATATGCGGAACAACCATTTGATTCTGCTCGGGACTGGGATTTCCTGAGAAGAGTTAAGAGTCGTGGAGGGTATTCGCAGCTCTATTGATGTAACCAGTTTTTTTAATACATATATACACATCTTCTATCACGTTCTGCACTCAAAGAATGAAAGCAGCTGTTTGAACATGATGGATCGGTACTTGATCAGCAATGTTCCAACCTCGTTGAAGTAATGTTGCGACCCACACCCCTCACTGAAGAAGGCCACTCCTGAGACCAGGTAGAACCATGGAACCAAGGTTGATCTTTTGTGAGGTGTTTCTGTTTTTCATGCTCGCTGTTTTTTCTTATTTGCGGTGCACTTTGGAAGACGAGGAGCATTTCGAGCTCGGCACGTGAGCAGAGCAGGTAGGTGCCGCACATAGGTGGTACAGTAGGTGCTGTACGTGACGTAGGTCCGGTGCCATCGAGTTGAGAGACCAGGAAGAAGAAGCATGATCCAGTCGATGGTTTGGAGAGGACCAAGCCGCTGATCTAGGACTAGGAATGGACTTGGTTGGAAGAGGACCAATAACTGGAGGTACTTTTTGATCTTCCCTGCTTTTGGGGCTGCTTTGAAACACGATTTTGCTGATACATCCCGGCTATGTGTGATCGTATACTGTACCCTATGCTCTTCAGTCAGAAACCTTTCCAGCGCCACACCAACAAATCAAGAATCAAGGACAATTGTCTTCCATGGAACTTGGTCCAGTATAGTGGTTTCAGAGTAGATGGCACCGACCGCAAGATGTTCTTTAGATGGGAGTCAATATAAACCACCCAACTTGGGGGCCCTGGTGCCATCTACTCTCAATCCACTCTCTCTCTATATATATATATATAAATATATAATTACTTAACAGAAGAAGAAAAAGACCCATGATTTCGCCCAACTTGCCCCCTCCCTCCTCGCGAGGTCACGACATCGCCCAGCGCAGAGGCGAAGACACCCAGATTCAGAGTGGTTTTGATATGATTTTTCATGGGGCTCCCTCACTGACATGTTTGGAAACTAACATGGACTCTGTGGTTTTGGCACCCTGAAAGACTGTCAGGGTCCATGTTAGTCTTTACTATGAGGATCTATGGGATATATATATATATAATTCTATGACTGTTATTTAGAGGTGACTTTTGGATGAGCGAACGATTGAACTTCACACCCTCTGCCTTGTCACTGTTTCCTCGATGGGAATCGAGTACAAATCTGAGAGATAGAGCCGTAGAGGTATCCGCGCTCTCGGTCTTTTTCCAGTTTTTGTTTAGATCACTCGCTGGTGATTCGGTAAGGAGTCATTTGCTTCAGGATCCATACACACATGTTCCGTGTGATGTGCACGATGGTAACTGGGCCCCGTTGTCCGAAAATCATGGGCACTCCCTGTTTGTGGAGGTTGTAGAGGAACATCGAATCTTCCCAGGGGCCATGCCATCCACGTAGCCAATGATGGTTGGAGGGAGGGTATAAATTCTGAAGCTCTAAGGACTCTGAGACACTCGGTGTATCGTGAGGCATTTAGGTTGTACATTTTCTATACCACATATCACTGACTGCAGGGCGTGTTCCGCAGCAGGGCCTGCCACCTGGGGATGAGTGCTAGGAGGGCAAAATCTAGACTTCCAGAAATAATGGGACGCGAACACCAGTGGTGTATCAAGAACTGTATCAAGAACAGAATGAGACTTTGAACCGCCGGAACATGAGTGCCTGTTTGAGACCACCCAGCATCGGCGGAGGCAGTGTACACCACTGCACCACACGTTTGGCCATTGGGGGTATGGAAAGCCATGGCCTCCATGAACCCCAGGAGCAGCGCAGCTTGCACCAAGACTCCACCGGTCAAGCCTGCCAAAGCAAACATCAGAACCTAAGCATCATCAGCTTACTGAGTAAGCAGAGGGGTGAGAGGAGTAGGTACCACATTACCACATGACAGACATTAGCATGAAAAATTTTACCACCAATACGATGAACTGTTCGGATCATAGGATTACCATAACTCGACCCTGAAAATCACTGCTTTGTCAAGGAAAACCAGTGGGACGACCCGGGTGCCATTCCACCACAGGGTCCATGTGCTTTTTTTCGGGAATGTCAGATTCCTGTCCTCACAGTCGCCCAGACATTGCATGTCCGATTCCTGCTCACACTTCGACGGAACGGGTGCAGGCCCGCAAAGCCTCGCCCAGGTCGCACGATGCCCGGCCGGTGGATTTTCACCGATGGTGCAGGTGGATGCTGGGAGGATCAGGGGCGCACCCGGGTTTCTCACAGATCATGTGGGGCGCTACGCGAAGGAGCTCCCAGTTGTTTTTGGTCGTGCCGAAGGGATCCTGGCTGAGCCAGACCCACAGCCATATCCTCCAAGAAGACAGTGTTTCAGTTTTGTTCAGGTGTTTCCATTGCTGAATCTTTCTAAGCATCTTCAAAAAACAACTGTGCATGCCGATGGGACCCGTGCCACAAGTAAGTGTTGATAGGTGTTGCCTTCGTGTTCGGTCTGGGTGGCTCTTCTTTTGGCCCATCGGCCATACCCGGCAGCCCAAAAATCCAGATCCCAGGAGACGGTCGGAACTGGTTCGCGACGAAGATTTGGCCGTTTCTGATGGTCTTCTTGGACTCGTCCCATGTTCCCGACTCCTTCCGGCCAGACGAGAGTTCTCTGGGCTCCCATCTCCCTGCTCAGGTGGGCACCACTCTATACACCACTCAGGCAGACGGATTGGAATTCAGATCGACACCGAACGGTGGTCATTCGGTGGTCCATTGAGTCGATTGTGACATGAAAACCGAGGATAAGGTTTTGATGGATCGGGGTGTTGGCAGGTTTTTGGCGGCAGGATTTTGCCCGAGAAACATGACCTTCTTGTGCGGCACGGTGAATGACGCACCCGATGCCTTTGTCCAAAGGCTTTTTTAGGCGAGTTGTGAGAAAGCATGCCTGTCATGACTGTTTACTTCGGATGCTGCATGTTGTACTGTACTGCATATAGTATATAATCATATATGTTATTATATATATATATATATTTTGTTATAATTATACAATAGCATTGTCAAATATCAGACTTCGTTTTGCAGAACTAAGCAAGCTCTCCATTTTATAGAATATATTCAAGTATTTTAACACAGTATATATACTATTCCCGTTGAGGCTACCTTCTGATTGAACCGCCCGGTTCTTATGTCGAAACAAATCACAGTTTTGTTTATGTTTGTTTCTTGTTTTGTTAAATTGACATGTCATCCAAGATCATTCATGAATTGCTATGTCATGAATTTATCACATTTTTTTCATGCCCTTGTGCCAAACCCACAGTGTTGCTGCACCTACCGACCTACCGCTCCCACCGTAAACAGCCCCGCGCAGGTGTGAACGAAACTCTGGTTCTCTGAATGAACGACTTGAACGACCAGGAAACGTGTCTTCGCTTTAAATAATGGTTCCTTTTTTCTTCATCTGGACCCCACGATTTCCGACCGAGAACGGAGGGGTTTCCTTCTGGACCCAAGTCGCTGTGCACAACAAGCACCTCGATTAGGTTATGGATACCCGACGGAGGGGCCCTGGCTACCCTGGTTTGAACAGCGTCATCATTATGACGATCCATCAGCCAACCGATAGTCTAAGTTGCATCGAACTTTTTGGGTTTTCCTCAACGCCGAGAACAACCTCAACCATGTTTTTATGTGGCTGTTGAACGTGACCATTGTGAGCTGCGGCTTGCGGGCCCGATCGATGGATGTCACCGCGAAAAAAAGCGGATCGTCATGTTGTGCTTCTTTAAAGGGAGAAGCGAAAGCAAAAGATCAAAAAGGCTAGATATTTGGAGTGCCTTAATACAGTGTGATTTGGATGATATCAAATGTGGCTAGTCAAAGTCTCTTTGACACTTGGCAGGTCAACGCAGTGTTACGCCGGGCTCTCCAAGTCCAAATCATTTTCAAGGTTTGCTGTCACACGCTGTCTCGCACTGTCCGGCTCCGGCTGTCTTCCTCTTTGTCTATCTGGGAAGGGCCAACATACTCTGACTCTGTGTTTCTCCATTCATCATATTCATAGACGGCCTCTTTCCTATTGATTCAATTGATTGTTTGATTGTAGTAGAGGGAATACCCCAGAGCCCTCTACACTCCCGAAATAATCCCTGGAAGTGGAGTTCACTTCCTGTTTGTAGAGGAACATATATAACATTTTCCAAGGCATTTTGTTTCCCACTTCCATGATCGTTATTCCAGGGAGTGTAGACATGAGCTCAGCCAGCAAAAAGCCAGCAAGTATCATTTGCTGACCGAGAACATGTATGGAAAACCATGGAAAACCCATTAAAAGGGTACGTATCCAGAGTGAAAATACATCCATATCCGGGCCACGATGGTTTGCCCTCATTCAAGAACGATTTCTTGTGTCGATGTACTTGAAATACGGCAGGATGGTATTCTGGTTCCATCAAGTCGTTTGACGATCGAGGGGTGGAACCTACGTGTGTGGAACAGCTGATCACTTGGCCTCATTGTCTTTCGGAGAGATCAGGTATTCTGCTGTTGTGTCACCTGGGCGAGACAGCATGCTGGGCCCGAGATGCCTGTCTTGCACAAGCTGCAGCCATGTGCTGCAGTCTGGAGCCACGAATCGGTCCAAAAAGATGTGACGAACCAGCGTAGTTCTAAGTGGCCTAGTTGGCCTGACCGACGTTGGAGGGGATACCGTTGTATACGTGTAAAACTCTATTATATACAATGTGGATGTATACTTAGCACTAACCCACTGGTTCTCAAGGTCGGTCGGACCGATACGTGGTCAGCCTCCACCCAAATTGGTTGGCGTGAAGGAAGGTTGCC